AAACTGGTGTAGTCACACATTTCAAATCTCTCAGGTTGGTAACTATATAACTTTATATTGGATTTTTGAGCAACTAAATCTTAGTATCTTAAAACTTCATATTTATCAACTAATTAGCAGCTTTATCAAGTTGTATGTGGGTTACAAAGGATCAAATTCCAATTTTAGAACTCAGAATAATGTATCGTTACCACATGAACCTAATTAGTTTTAAATAACATCATTCTATCCTGTAATCGGTGAGTATTGTTTCTGTTAAAATAAATTAGGAAACAATTTTTTGTTAAGAGTATTATAATTTTTTGTTAATAGCTATAATTACTATTATATTTAATTAATTGTTATTTTTAATGTGTTTATATCTTCCAGGGCTCCTATGTATTTAGGTTGAATTTCCTTTAAAAGAAGTTATGTATGAAGATATATATCATCTTGGTACAAATTGTCCAAGTTCATGGGGCTGCACATGTACAGTGAATTCTTGTAAATTGTGTATATTTTTACATTTAACAAATAAAGATTTATTTTTGTTATCTCAAAAAGGTTAGCTTGTAGGGTGAATGGCATTGCCATTGATACTACTCCTGTTTTCAGTACTTTTATTTCTCTTATTTAACTTTCTTTTCAATTTTTTTTACAATGGAGAAACTTTTAAACAAAATTATTAAAAATTATGTTCCAAATACATATTCAACAGAGTTAAACAATAGCTTAATGAAAAGTTTTGTTTAATTTTCTTGTAAAATTAATGTTTATAAAAATCTGTCTTATTCTTAGGAATAAACATAGTATTTCTTTAATTTACCTAAAATATCTATACTAAAGGGTATTCATGATATTTAATTATTTGTTACATGTATGATTACAGAATGTGATCAAATGAAAATATTACGTATATATAATATATTATTATATTATAATGCATACATTATAATTTTGATAGGAAGGGTAAACCTATTTCATTTATTTTATTTATAAATGAAAGAGGTTACTCTTTCTTTTACTATTCCTTTGTTCTTTTATAGAAGGGGTAACTCTATTAGTTAAATTATTTACATTTTTGGTAGAAGCGGTAGGCATACTGTATTTGTTTTGATAGAATGGTAAACATATCTGTTTACTTTTTTTTAAATAAAAGCTGTAAACTTATTTTTGTACTATTTCTTTATATATTAATAGAAATAGTAGCCTCATTTGTTTACTATATAAGTTTGTGTTTAATAGAAGTTGTTTCCCCTTTTGAAGGTGCTTTATAACAATCTTGTTAACATTTTACATAGTCTCTCAACAGTCTAATCCTTGTGTATGGGGAAAACTTACTTTAAAAGATGAAGGTGATGATGATGATGCATGTATCTACTTTATTTTATGCATTTATTTGAAGGATAAACTTGGGTGCAATTTTTAAATTTGTTAAGATAAAATTTGCCAACTAATTTTAGTATTTAATGATGAATAGTTATTGTTTTATTTGTGATTTTATTCAAGTGAGGGAAATGTGGAGTGGAGTAGAATAGCTTAGTAGTTAAGGTGCTTGCTTCCCAATTCCAGGGTTCTAGGGTCAGTTCCTGTGACAACAGGATTTTTTATTTGGACTAAAAAAACAACTCTTTAAGGCTCATTATGAGACTGATTTAAGAAGGATAACTGAGTCCTGTGGAGACCAGTATTAAGGCTCATTATGAGACTGATTTAAGAAGGATAACTGAGTCCTGTGGAGACCAGTATTAGTCTACTAAACAGGTTACCTAGAAGGTAAATTTAATTCTATCATCATTGTGTACAGGACACATGATGTACAGTAACCATTGTATATATTTTTAAATTCTGGGATTCTATTTTAAACTAGTAACATATTTTGTTTAAACTATGTTTGACCAATGTAATAATCCTTCACCATTTTAGGAATAAATGTAAGAAGTTACCAATTTTAGAAATCAAAATAATCTCAAAAGTTATGCACAGTATGTATGCATATGCTGCTAAAATGTAAGTTATTTATTTTTATATTGTATTATAATAAAAGGGAGTGCTAGGATTTCACTTCTATGGGATTACAAATTAGTATTATCTATATTGCTACTAAAATATTATTATTATTATTATTATTACTATTATTGTTAGTACTGCTGTTGTTATGTTATAATGTTAAAATAGAACAGGGTTTGTAATGTTTCTGAACACATTGAGAGTACAAGTTTTATGGTGCTAAATGAGCTGTTTTCAAGCTATGCAATTAAATCTTAAGTTATTTTATTTTGTATTTTAAAGAAAAAACAACATTGATATTTTGTTGACCGGTGCATATGCAATGTTTTATAAATAAATATATGCAGCCACAAATTATTATGAGAATATCGTAACATGTTGTAGACCATTAGTAATCAAAACTGTTCTGAGTTAATCTTCCATTACTCAGTACCACAATATGGTGCTTCGTTGAACCTCCTGTTGTTTGCACACTACCGTAACATAGTTTGGGCATTTTGAGTCTTGGATTGTAGATGATATCATACCTCAACATAGTCTTTCCGAAATCACCAACAAACATTGTGTCTGTGCACAATTGTATTCTAGATTGACTCTATATTTTATGTATTTTGATATTGATATGTGAATAGATCTGTGTATATTTATATTTATTGAGTGTTGTGTGAGAGTATAAAAGTTTCTAAATTTCTGGATAAAGTGTTTGTATTTTGTGTGTAGTGTAGAGTTTTTATTTAGTTGTACATGTGATGTAAAAATATGCAGAAAGAACAAATAAAATAACATATTTTAACGAACATAGTTTTAATGTATTTTGTCTTGTATTAATTCTTATAATTTGGTAAATATTTTGTCAAGAAATGGTGGTGCATGAAGATTAAAAGGTGGCAGAGTAAGTTGAGATTATGAATCTAATATAATAATACAGTAATAATAATAATAAACAGACATTTATAATGCACCGGTGGCCCTCAAAGATGCTCATGGCGCATTATGCCCATATTACTGTATAGCAAATTTTCTTTGAACTTGGTTCAAGCAAAGCCGTTATAGCAAAGATGTGCTTGATTTTATTGATTTCAGTACCACATGTGATGTGAGACCACGATAAACGGTCAGGCCGGAGACATGTGAAAAGGCATTTTATTTAATTTAACTTTCTTTGTATTGTGTTATCCCACCATATCATTATATGCCTACATATGGGAAAGTATTCTATCTGTGGGTAAGATATGAACGGAACCATAGAAAAGGAAGAGTCTAAGTCCATATTTTAAAAACATGTAAAGAAAAACCTTTTAGAAATCATACATAATTAAAAAATATGCATGTCATAACAGAGAGAAAAAAAACACAGAACTGTAAATTCATAAAAAGTGATTAAAATTTAAGATGAAACAAGAGGTTTTATTAGGATATAAAACAAATATGAAAGTATTGTACATGTCACTGCATTCTAAAAATATACAGTAGAACCCCCTATTAAGGGACATATTCGGGGTCAAAAAAGTGGTGCCAGCGTCTGAAATCTGGGGTAGGGGGGGAAGTGAGGTGCAAGATACAATTTGGGGAGGGGGGACAAGGTTCCCAATGAGAGCAAAGTGGGTGTGGTCGGGTGTCAATTAAAACGTTTCGAAAGTGGTCCAGGGAGTGGAGGGTTTCAGAGGCTTATTGTATTTACATATACTGTAGATGTCAACTAATATGTAGAAAATACATGTAATTGTGATTTTTCTTCTTTTCTGGGGGAAACTGGTTGGGAAAGAACAAGAAAATTTTCTAGGGGCCCCCCGAGACCCTGTAGCACAGCTACTTCCCCCTAATGGGTGTGTTCCCTGAAAAGGGATTGGCTGAACTGTTAGATATACTGTACTTTCCTTCATTCTGTGGCCGAAAAAGTGTTCCCTAAGTAGGGTCCTTCTGTATTTATTATCTTTATTCTTCACACATTGTCGTTATAAATTCATTGTAACTTTTAGTTTAATTATATTTGTTGTCTTCGAAAGCACTGCAATAGAAGAGTGCTACTTTAACAAAAGTGTACCGTCAAATAAATAAATAAATATAAACTTATTACGTCGGTCATCACAACCATTGATGGTGATTTCTTGTCCCCTATAAGAAAAAAAGTGGCCGTGGTCGGGTGTTGCTAAAAACCTTTAGAAAGTGGTCCAGGCGTAGAGATATACCCCCATGCATATAAATTTATAAATAATAATTTATAAATATAAACATACTTCAAACATGAACATACTTTTTAGTGTAGTAGAGTCGTACTGTTTTTTACCTGCTTTTTTACTTTAAGGTTTAACTAGGGTTTTTATTTATTTTATTAGTTTTACTTAATGATAAGTAATTTTAAAGGTTTTTAACAAATTTTAATGTAGTGTTTTTTACCTGTTTTTTTTACATCCACTTTTACGTACTTTTAAGGTTTTTCAATGGGTTTTATACGCCCTCCAATTTGAGACCACTCTGTGTATCTCAAATTTGGGGTGGTCTCGGGGTTCGGTCTGAACTGAGAAACCTCTAAGTAGAGACCACAGGCTTGATCTCCAAGCAGCATAATTGGAGGGTAACCGAACATGAAACCTCTAAATGAAGACCGAAGATAAAAGTGGTCTCCAAAAGACAACATGGGACAACCATTTATTTATTTCAAAGAAACTGTTTTTGCTTTTAATTTTTTGTTGACTTGAAGCTGTTTAAATTGAAAAAAGAAAAAAAAAATTGAACTGCATACTGTAAAGTAAACATAACATTTACACTTTATTTGATGAAAGTTAGGTTTAGATATGTGGGTTTCCATCCTTTACATAAAGAAAGATGTTATTTTCTTTTGTGTTGCTTGGCCTTTCCTTATATTCCCAATCTTCAATAAGCAATTCTCCAACGAGTTCCTCATGGCCATGATAAAGTGGGGATAGAAGCCCCGTAGCTAGACTCATTGATGGGTACTGGTACCTGGTATTGGGTATTGATATTGCGCCTTTCCCTTGCGGTTATGAAGCGCAAGCCAAGCCTCAATGATTCAGGAAAACAATGGTAGGCATAAAATCAGTCATTATTCAGGAACCTGAAGCATCACAGTAGTACAGTCACAAACAACAAAGACAAATAAACAGATTACAACAATAAAAACACAAAAGGAAAGGGTGGGGTAACCAAGTACTGCAAGGGCCATGCCTTCCTCAGTATGGCCATTGTTGGAGCTAAATTTGAATGGCGCTGCCCTTCCTCTTTCAGCTACGGGGCTGGATATCCACTTCTTTTCACATCAAAGCAAATACCAACAGGGAAACACTCAGATGACACTCTTCTTACAAATCTTTGGATGATACCATATATGTCAGTATATGTCAGGTGTTCCATCTTGACCAGATTTCCCCAATATTAAATAATTTTTGCTTTTAGTTTTAATTGTTTACGTTTTTTATTTTAGCAGGTGGGGGGAGGGAAACATTAGCAGGGGAATTCCCCCCCCCCTCCCTTGGCTACAGGGCTTGGGGGTAGTGCAGCAATTGAATGGCTGAAGATTGTTGTAAAACATTTACTGAATATTTTATGACAGCCAGTGGCCTAAAACTAAACATTTCTTTTTAAAAAATAGCTTTTTCAAAGATAACACACTTAAGAACCCTTTATTGTGCATAAATTTATGAAAATAGATCTGTTATAATGTTGAATTTTTCAAAAGAGTATTTATTGCTAAAAAAAATTTAATCTGTTTGATATATTTTTTAATGTGGTCTTGAATTGGAGGTCATTTTTTCACTTGGTTCTTCCATAAAGGTGGTCTCGAATTGGAAGGTTCTCATAATTAGAGGGTGATCTCAGTGTTAAAAGATAGGTGGTAAGTTGGTAGCCTACTTTGAAAAAGTGGTCTTGGATTAGAGGGTTCTTGGAATTAGAGGGGGGTCTTGAATTGGAGGGCGGACTGTATTAGTTATACTTTCATTAGTAATTTTAAAGGTTTTAACAAATTTTAATGTTTGTTTTACTTTTTAACCAATTTTTATGTAATATTTTTTTATTTAAGGGACCCCAGAAATAAACCGATTTGGTTTTATTGGGTTATCCTGAGCTGTAAATTTTGTACAATACTAAATTCTCTTTTCATTGTTTGGTTATCCCGTGTAATGTGTTGAATTATGCTCAAATACAATCGGCCTTTTTCACGAATCTGTAGACATCTTGAAGTGATGACAAACATTGCGAATCAGCGGTGCGTAACCAACAGAAATAAGATAAGCTTTTGGGCTGATTTTCTGACATGTTATTTTTAAAAAAACTCCATAACGGGACGTCGTATCCAAAAAAAATTTCCAGCAAAATGTTCTTAAAAGACTAGTAAATTGAAAAATGTTTTTGACCTCTGAAATCAAGATGGAAAAAGAAAAGCCTATCTAAGTAGTGTATTAAAATAGGTATATGCATTACAGTGCAGTATAGTACTAGTAATACTCCAAGCCCGTGCCAGGGGGGTTTGTTGGATTCGAACGAATCCCCCTTTTCATTACGAGAGCAGCTTAGCTCAGTCGGCTAATCTGGTGGTAGCCGCTGTGTGTGCGCTGAACCGTGGAGAACTCTATGTCCCCGGTTCAATTCCCATCGCTGTCTCTCCTTGTGTTTCAGCTAGAGGGCTGAAGTACAAGTTACAATAATAGCGCACCGTCTTTCGGATGAGACGTTTAAGCCGCTGGTCCCGTGTGCATTATGGCCCATGTGCACGTTAAAGAACGCAGTACACTCTTCGGAAAAGAGTAGGGGATTGTCTCCCGGTGTACTACCCAATAACCACAAGAAGGACCCCACTGGAAATAAGTCTTCTTCTAGACTTTCGTGGGCTATCCTTGGTGTTTACACCGAATAAATCCAATCCACGAAGTGCCCTTTCAACAGAATACCTTTCAACAAGGCTGGCTAGCCTTGGGCTAGCCTAGAGCCTATCATTAAAAAAAAAGTCCTACTTTAATACTTGTTAGGCCTACCTAGTAATATCAAAAAATAAATGAAAATAGGGCATTTTCAACTGTTACAACATTATTATTTAATCAGTACAACCTTAAGTAGTACAAATCAGTAGGCCTAACCACCCAAAGGGACAGGGCATGGAAGCAGCAGCAGAGCGCCGACCTTTCCGATATGATCGTCGGCCACCATATATTATATTACTATGGATGCAATATTTTATTGTGCAGTACGTATGACCATTTAGGCACCAAAACCTTGACTCAGAAATACCGGGATGGTGTCCGGCGGGGGATAGTTTCACACCTGTATATAATAATACACTACAACCAACCATACAAACCATACTAGTAAATCATTATATTATATTATATTACTGTGGATGCAATATTTTATTTTGCAGTATGACCAGGGAGTTGTTCTAAATAACAACTCCCTGGTATGACCGACCATTCAGGCCCCAAAATATTGACTCAGAAAAACTGGGATGGTGTCCGATAGTTTCTCCTGTGTATATATATATATAATAATACACTACAGCCAACCATACACATTTGTCTCGGTTTACTGGCTTCTTTGGAGTTTGTATCATGCTACTGTAGGCTCTTGTTAATTTACCAGTACTGTAATACTAAACTAGTACACTG